TGGGTTGCAGTACCGTCTGAGGGTCGACACAGAGCATTTAGTTTCTGCCGGCCGTTCATTTCTTGATGTAGTTGACCATGCCCGATCCATGGAGCATATTCATCGCGAGGCCCAAGGGGGCAGCGATAAGAGGGCACGCTACCAGGGCAGCTACAGCGGGTCCCAGACCAGAGGGAGAGACTCCTATGATAGGCCCCGCCAGAAGTTCCAGCAGCGTCAGTCCAGTCGGCCTGTTCAAGCGGCATTACCTGCTTCTGAGGCAGGTCAGCATCACCAGGGTGGTCCTCGTACGGGCCAGAGTTTGAGGGGATCAGATTCCCTCCCTTCTTATCGCGGTCGGGTTACTTCAGGGCGTTCAGGTTCGGAGTGTTTTGATTGCGGTGTGCCTGACCATTGGTCCAGAGAGTGCCCCCGGCGAGGGCGAGGTGCTATTGTACCAGCTCCCATTGCACCTAGACCAGTTTCAGCAGTGCCCCCTCTAGCTAGAGGTGGTGGTCAGGACCAGGGTCGTCGGGACACCCGACAGGGTACCAGAGGCGGAGCTCGGGGAGGCAGGTTAGGTGGTAGATTAGATGCATCGGGCAGAGGTGCTCAGGGCCATTTCTACGCAGCCCCGGCGAAGGCGACGGCTGAGGTATCCGACGATGTCATCACAGGTACTCTTTTATTATGCCATCAACCTGCTACAGTATTATTTGATCCCGGGACCACATTCTCGTATATATCTGTTTATTTTGCTCCCCGATTGGGTTTGAGGTCTGAGTCTTTGCCAGAGCCAGTTCATGTTTCGACTCCGGTGGGTGAGTCCTTAGTAGTGGATCAGATATTACGATCTTGCTTAGTGACTATCCGGGGTTGTGATACTAGAGTTGATCTTATTCTGCTAGATATGGTTGATTTTGATGTGATTCTGGGCATGGACTGGTTATCCCCCTACCATGCGGTCTTGGATTGCTACGCCAAGACCGTTACTTTAGCCATGCCTGGCATTTTGTCAGTGTTGTGGCAGGGTGCTTATAGTCACACACCTACATGGATCATCTCTTTTATGCGGGCTAGACGGTTGGTTGCTTCTGGGTGTTTAGCTTATTTGGCTTATGTGCAAGATGTGAGTAGGGAGGGCTCTTCAGTTGACTCAGTTCCTGTGGTTAGAGATTTTGCAGATGTGTTCCCTACAGACCTACCTTGCTTACCTCCAGATCGTGACATTGATTGTGCCATAGATTTGCAGCCCGACACCCGTCCTATTTCTATTCCGCCTTACCGGATGGCTCCTGCAGAGCTCAGGTAGCTCAGTGTTCAGTTAGAGGATCTCTTAGATAAGGGATTTATCCGTCCGAGTGTGTCGCCTTGGGGTGCTCCTATTTTTTTTGTGAAGAAGAAGGACGGGACTATGAGGATGTGTATTGACTACAGGCAGCTGAACAAGGTAACGGTGAAGAACCGTTACCCCATGCCTCGTATTGATGATTTGTTTGATCAGCTTCAGGGTGCCGCCGTGTTTTGTAAGATTGATTTGAGGTCCGGGTACCATCAGCTGAGGATTAGGGCAGCGGACATCCCTAAGACTACATTTAGGACCCGTTATGGCCATTATGAGTTCTTGGTGATGTCGTTTGGGTTGACTAATGCCCCTGCTGCCTTCATGGACTTGATGACACGTGTATTCAGGCCATACCTTGATTTATTTGTTATTGTATTCATTGATAAAATACTGGTATATTCGCGGAGCCGGAGTGAACAAGAGCAGCATTTGAGGATTGTGCTCCAGACTTTGAGAGATCAGCGGCTTTATGCCAAGTTCTCAAAGTGCCAGTTTTGGTTAGACTTTGTAGCGTTCTTGGGGCATGTTGTATCTAAGGAGGGCATTATGGTAGATCCGACGAAGATTGAGGCTATTCGTGATTGAGCTAGGCCTACCTCAGTTACTGAGATTCGGAGCTTCGTCGGATTAGAAGGCTACTACAGACGCTTTATTGAGGGCTTTTCTACTATTGCAGCCCCGTTGACTCGATTGACTCATGTTGATGTTCCCTTAGTTTGGTCAGAGGAGTGTGAGGCGAGCTTTTTGAGGCTCAAGGAGTTATTGACCACCGCTCCTATATTGACCGTTCCAGTTGAGGGCGAGGGCTTCACAGTTTATTGTGACGCATCCGGTCTTGGTTTGGGTTGTGTATTGATGCAGCAGCGTCGTTGGATTGAGCTCCTGAAGGACTATGACCTTTCTATTTTCTATCATTCGGCAAGGCGAATGTGGTAGCGGACTCCTTGATCCGAAAGGCGGTGAGTATGGGTAGTCTATCCTTCTTATCTGTTGAGGAGCAACCCTTAGCTTTGGACATTCAGTCCTTAGCTAATAGCATGGTTCGGTTGGATATCTCAGATTCTAGACGCATCTTGGCCTTAATGGGAGTTCAGTCTTCTTTGCTTGATAGGATCCGTGGTTGCCAGTTTGAGGATGACACCTTGGTGGCCCTTAGAGATCGAGTGTTAGCAGGTGATGGTGGTCAGGCTACCTTAGATCATGATGGATGGTTAAAATTTGCCGGCCGTATTTGTGTTCCGAGAGTTGGAGATCTGATACAGTTGATACTTTCTGAGGCCCATGAGTCTAGATACTCTATCCATCCGGGCACAGCGAAGATGTATAATGATTTGAGGCAGCATTACCGGTGGAGTGGCATGAGGAGAGATATTGCTGACTTTGTTTCCCGTAGCTTGTGCTGCCAGCAAGTAAAGGCCGAGCATTTGAAAGGTAAAGGCCGAGCATTTGAGACCAGGTGGCGAGTTCCAGAGATTACCCATTCCGGAGTTGAAGTGGGAGCGTATCACTATGGACTTCGTTGTGGGGTTGCCTTGGACTTCTAGAGGTGTTGACAGCATTTGGGTCATCGTGGATCGATTGACCAAGTCAGCACACTTCCTTCCTGTTCATACTACCTTCAGTGCTGAGAGGTTGGCTCGTATCTATATTCGGGAGGTAGTTCGTCTTCATGGTGTGCCTGTTTCTATCATTTCAGACCGGGGTTCACAGTTCACTTCCAGCTTTTGGAGGGCTTTTCAGGAGGAGTTGGGCACCCGTGTCCACCTTAGCACAGCATTTCACCCACAGAGGGATGGTCAGTCAGAGCGTACTATTCATGTCCTTGAGGATATGTTGCGGGCCTGTGTTATGGATTTTGGAGGTCAGTGGGACCAGTTCTTGCCTTTGGCAGAGTTTGCATACAACAACAGCTACCACTCTAGTATTCAGATGGCCCCGTTTGAGGCCTTATATGGTAGGCGTTGTCGCTCTCTAGTTGGTTGGTTTTAGTCTACAGAGCCTAGGCCGCGTGGTTCAGATTTGCTTCAGGAGGCCCTGGATCAGGTGAGGGTGATTCAGGATAGGCTCAGGACGGCTCAGAGTAGGCACCAGAGTTATGCGGATCAGAGGCATCGACCTTTGAGATTCTCTGTTGGTGACCGGGTATTCCTCCGTGTGTCGCCCATGAAGGGCGTGATAGGGTTTGGGAGGCGGGGCAAGCTTAGCCCCAGGTACCTTGGGCCTTTTGAGATACTCCGGACAGTTGGGGAGGTTGCTTATGAGTTGGCCCTACCTCCAGTATTTTCGGCCATCCACCCAGTGTTTCATGTTTCGATGCTGCGGCGATATGTTCCTGATGAGTCCCATGTGCTCCAGTATGATGCAGTCGAGTTGGATGATCGTTTGACATTTGTAGAGGAGCCAGTTGCCATTCTAGCCAGAGATGTGAGGAGATTGCGCTCGACAGCCATTCCTGTTGTTAAGGTTCGTTGGAGGCATCGTCCAGTCGAGGAGGCTACCTGGGAGACCGAGCAGGAGATGCGGGAGCAGTTTCCCGGCTTGTTTGAGCCTTCCGGTACTTCTTGATCCTTTCTTTCGCGGACGAAAGTCCTTTTTAGTAGTGGATATTGTAATGGCCCTCATGGTTATTTCTGTGTCTTGCCTTCTGTGTGTCGTTTAGAGCGTTTCTATAGCGACCCCAAGTCATTTATGACTTGCTGGGACTGACAGTTCGGTCACCTGGTCGTTCGTTTGGTCTTGGTGCGAGTTTTTATGTTTTGGAGCTTATGAACCTTGAACGATCATTTTTGATCAAAAGTTCAAGAAGATGACATCTGAATCCAATTCTGATGATTCCATCAGCTTCGGAAGGGTCATTTTAGGCTAGTAGCATGGTCGACATGACTCTCGAGGTTTTCAGTGTGAGTCGGTGCGATTAGGCGTTTTAGCCTTTGAAATTTGGCTTAAGTTTGACTTTGGTCAACATTCAGAGTAAACGCGCTCGGATGAGAATTCCGTCAGCGCAGTTAGCTCTGGAATGTCAAGTTTGGTCTAGATTGACCCTTCTTTTGTGTCTGGAGATTTTCGATATCTTTTCGAGCCCTTTTGTGAGTTTTGACTTAAAATGGCTTTTTGAAGTGGACCTACTTTTTATCGAAATGACCTATGATGGAAATTTCGACTGCGCCGTTGAGTCTGGAATATCAAATTTGGTATGGTTGCATATCTCGTTTGCGTGCACGGGGTTCCGAACGAGATCGAAGCACCCCGTCGGAGTTTTAAGTTTTGGAATTATTGCAGATTTTCTGCAATAAATGCAGAAAAACAGCAACATATTCCCCAAACTTAAACCATGATAAAACTCTCATCTCTCAACCGATTTGGGCGATTCAAAAGGAAAAGTTGTGAGATTTTTCGAGGACAACGTGTTGGTGAGCTCGGATAGTGATTTGGAGTCTCCGTTTGAGGTAAATTTCGTAAAATACCTGCTGCCGCACCCTTTTTGTGAGCTTGATTTTGGGAATTTTTGAGACTTGATATTTCAGTCATTTTAGGTCCGATTTCAGTGATTTTTGAGGCTATCTTGAGTGGTTTTTCGAGGAGAACATTGTGGTGTTGTCAGAGTTTACTGTAAACCACCTGTTTTTGGTAAATATGCTGAATTAGCTGCTGTCCCATTCCTTTAGTTCTCGAGGAAAATTTGGGTTTTGGTTTGTATGTTGGTACTGTGTTGTTTCTGAGCCCCGAATTGTGTCCCATCATGGAACACAAGTTCGGGGAGCTGTTAAGAACCTGCTTTTGGGGTAATTTCAAAATTTTCAGCGCGGGTCCCACGATTTCTGTTTTGACTCCAAAATTGACCCGTCTCCGTTTGTTGTGATTTTGGTGTCTAAACGACCGTATTAACGTTGTGACTCTATTTTTGATAGTGGGGCA